AGCAAGATGTTTTTCCACGTGTCACGCCATTGCATTTTCAGAGAGTTAATTTCCTCAAGTGAATCGGTTGCAAACTGACTATTCAGCTTTTTGGTCAGAACATAGTTTGCTTAGGGTTGGGTCCTGTTGTGGTGAGAGTTTAGTTGTGTGTGGCTCCATTTTTGCACCGGAGTAGGTTAGGCTGGCAAATATCTATAGAAAATGGGTCACAGTTTTCGAATTGGGTTCCCACGGTCGTCGTTTGTTGTTGGCTAGGATGGGCAACTTATGGGTCGGTGATCAGATGCTCTGTACGAGTCACTCGTCTTTCAGTCAAGGAATACCGATTTTTACGTAAAATGCATTTCGTCGGAATTGTACTATTTATGATTAGGAAATTCGAAGAAATGTGTTCCTTTGAGAATCAAAATATTCCCATACAAAGAGAAAATACGACAGTGAGTTAATCAGAATGTAATCAATTGATAATTGGGGCACTCATGGAAGCTTCTTGCAAGAGCATTACCATTAAAATTCGATGCAAATGGTGAACTAGATTTGAACAATTCGCATCCATGACATCTCGCCATGAGTTTACAGTTCACAACCAAACCAGCATTCTAGTCGGCCCAGGTGCGTTTTACGGGTAACTAATAGAAGTGGAAAAGAACAATGAGAAAATGAAATTTTCGCTCAAACCTATAATCAGCGTTGAGTAATCTAAAGTATATCGTAACTAATCAAAGTGACACATAAAATAGGTAAAAGTATAAAGCAGTTGGTAAGTTTTGACCTCGTTGGTAAAAATCCAGTATCTCTTCCAGATTGCAACCTTCCCGATTGCAATCAGCTCTTAGCACGAAATACTTTAGCTGTACAAGAAAATGTCTTCTATAATAAACACTAAACATGCAATAATCCCTCAAAACTAAACAAACGCAATTCAATTGGGAATCCATATCAATGGCAAAAGATGAAAATACCACATACTGATTGGCTTTTAGGGTTGGGTCTACTATGTAGAATGACTGAGAAAAGCAGAAGTCGTATTTTTCAGCAACTCGCGCATCGATATGTTTGTTACTTCCGTGACTACTTTCATTTGCTCAGCTCATGGTTTTGAATACAATGCCCCTGGGAGAAAAATAATTTGAGTGACCCCTTTGGTGTTCCTGCAAGTAAAATCGATTTTGACGAAACGATGTACTGGAAGGGAATGAATATATTCAACTCTAGTCCACAGCTCACTTGTCTTGAAATCCTGAAACCGTTACCGAGTGGCAGTGAATTCAAACTTCAGTATCTGACTGGTAATGTTTTACATATAAACTATTTTTTGATTCCTCATATCGGCACACATTTCATCACCATATTCAAAACCAAACTTGCTGACATCTTTCAAACCACACAGATCGTAGTGAAATACATCTCTATTCATGGATCGCTCGACTCGAGAAGCACAAAGGTCGTCCGCAATTCAGACTAGTGTACGCTTGAATACCTATAACAAGTGTGTCGCATACTTACCCACATGACATTCAACGATAAGTTATTCGACAGTCAATGAAACTTTCTGTTACCGCATTCCTTGTGTCGGTCCCCTAATTTCTTTCGCCAATATTTTGAGCTTCATAAGATTTCATTGGAGGACTGATCCAAAATGGTTGAGAGAATTGCCTAATTCGTTGTGCAAGATTTCGCACCGTTAGTTGATCGTTGCGTGCAACAGCTGAATCTAACGCGGGGTTGTATCGGTTTTGTGTGTGTGTGTGTGTGTGTGTGTGTGTGTTGTGTGTGCGCTTGAACAGTCTAGCCACACTTTAAACTGACTTTCGGGAATGATTTCATCCAGTTCTTCTTAGTTTCTTCGTCTTCGAAGCTGATTGGCTTGCCGGATCCACTTTTTACCCTAGATGTTTGAACGAAGTAGCATTTGATGAGTGATGAGTGATGAGAAACCAGCTCTGCAATAGCTCTTTTCCTATCTTTTTTGCTTACCTCTTATGAGCAAAATTAGATTCCCAAATTCCTTCCGTGACGCGTAACCTCAAGAGGCGCTGACAGGCACACCTTCTTTGTTCAGTTTGAACGTGGTAACTTACAATATTTACTGATTCATTCTTGCATATTGATTATTCGAAACAGATTAGGGATTTGAAGGGCTCGTGAACTGCTTCTTGTCGTTTTTGGTCGGATACGTTTTACCTTCCTCAATCATACTAGATTTGGCATCGCACAACGTGCAAGGGAAGAAATTATTCTAGTTCACTGGAATTAATACACAGATAGAGTAGTGGGTTTTGATGTATATATATATATATATATACATATATATAAGTATACATTAACATATAAATATATAGCATTCATATATTATATGTGTATATTTATGTACGTGTACGGCTAGAGGTACCGACAGTGTGTAAGCAACAATTACACATTATGGGTGAGAAAATGTCTTGACATTATCTGTGAAGTCCACAAATAGATTTTTAACTCAATAGAACGCTGAACAGTGGTCTCTGTTCTCCGACGTCTCAGTGAGATTTATCAGAACAAAATCGACTTGCAAATCTACCACAACCTTATCAAAATTTGGTAATGACCAATTTTAAGACTATTCATTCCCATCGGTGGGAATAATCGTGACCAATTCGATATTTCGGTTGGAAGAAAATCCTAGTTTCACAGGCATATTTCATTTTATCGTAATTGCACAACCAGTCAGGTTGTTGGGACTTGCCTTTCCTACTAGTGTGTCACATTAAGCCGTATTGACAACGAAAACAATATTTTCCTTCCGACTGATTGTGAACCCAAAACATATGGCAATAAATTATAGTCTTCGAAGCATTAGAATATACTCTTATTTTATATGGTGTATTTTTATCGAAGTATCTGTTTTCCATTTGTGTCTCACTAATGCCCGTGCATAGTGGCTCACTGTTTATCACGTAAGGAGATGATAAAACAGACGGTGACTTTCATACCAATACACAAACATCAATCATCCGGGAGGTAATGAGGTACCAGACTTATCAACCAATACAGACTTTATCATGAATGTTGATCAAGATTCCAGATAATCATCTGCTCTGTACTTCGAAGGTACTATCACCAGCGATTCTTCCAAGTTCGACCGAATTACTGCAGAGTTCACGGAACTTGGACGGTAAACAGCATCTGTACTGAGACTAAATTTACGTGTGTACTACGACACTGGATCTATGCATTCGTTATCGTTACTTCCCCATCTGTGTTCTGTTTATGCATTGTCAGATCCCAACGCACTTCCTCCCAGTCAGCCTACCCAGCAAAACAACGCATCTATGAAGCGCACATGAAAAATGTCCCAGCTGTTCATGACAATCATTGATTGAAACAACACTCTGAAATTTCTTCGAGTTCACAATCTTGCTTGAATTCTTGCGAATCTAAAATTCGTAACCAACACACAGCAAGACAAGCTGTGTAGAGCTTTTCTTTATTTTATGTCTATAATTACCAATTGTTTTATCTGTATCAAGGTGTTTGCCTAGAAATGAGTATTCACTTGGAATACACAATGTAGTTATTTGATTTAAATTAGAGAAGTTCAATGAATCAAAATGAGAAGAACTATTGCTGGAAGCAAGACGATATCTGAGGGCTCTTCTCATGTTTATCTTAGAATAATTTATCACTTCAAAAGGGAGACCCTTCTTACAGATAATGTCATAATGCTCTGCAAAATCAATTATCAGCTGGGTTCGAAGCTTTCTGGTACTGGAGAAAATGCAGGCGAAGTGTTTTGAAATCATATCCAACATTGGTCCTCTTGAACTTGCATAAACGGGAACCGCGTTGACAGATGTTACGATGGAACAAATTAATCGCACTGACATCCAGTTGTTTTTTTACTGTTTCATAGAAAACGAATCAAATGACGCGCTTCTCAGTGTGGATGAAGAAGCAGGACTCGGTGCAACAAAAGGCAACTCCTCAGAGTTCTAAAGAATAATGGGACATGACCCAGAAATAAACGGACCTGAAGAAAGCAAACCGAGTATAGGCTGCATAAGCTGATATTTTAGAACAAACATTAAATGTGTTCAATGAGATTGACAGTTATTGTGGACATTTGAGAATAGAGAATAGATGAAAGTTAATTTTGATTTCGAGTTTTCTGAAAAAGTATAGCATTGTGTAAATGTGGCCCACAAAATGACGATATTCATATGAAATGAGGATACCACTGAAATATATATTTGGTCGCAGACATTAAAATTGGCGGCGACGACATAAGCGAATAGGCAGACGGACGAAGTAAATGGGCAAGTAATTTTGCAAGCGTTGACTGGGGATCCCAGAATCATTTAAATGGGCACATATGTACTGAAGCTAAGTGCTCCATTACTAGTATGTTAGTCAAGATCCTCTTCTTTATTCCAAGTGAAAACGGGAATTGGAGTAAAGTGGATATTTGCGTTAGAACAGATCTTGGATCTGATAGTCAGTCCGTATCATTCACCTGTGATAATAATGAATCAGAGCCGAGCCAAAATAAAAGAATAATAAAAGTCGTAATCCACCTAAACAACGGATATTAGGCTATTCATCTACATTGGAACCATAGTCGGATGACGTTTGTATGGGCTTACATATGATGATTATTGGCTCGACAAATTGGACGACTAAAGCCCACAATATTACCGATTTTCTAAATGCAAGATCATCATTGTTGTGGTCAACAATAAGATTCGTACAACATTGTGCAAACTATTGTTCCAAAACGGAGATAATAAATCCAATTTGCTGTTGTCAGTCAAATCGATTGGAAAACATCATCTGTGTAAGTAAGCCACCGTGAGATCCAACCACCCAGAGGTGCACTGAGACTATCTATCATTGGAACAGACGGACTGAAAACGGACCAATCAACAAGCAAGTCAAAGCTGATAACCTCGATTGGCTCTGATCAATAGAAGAAAACGGTCTGACAAATTCAAAGAGTTTTTCTTTCCATTCAACGTAGTTGCACGATGCGCGTTCTCTTGCTGCTTCTTGGATTGGCACTGTTTGCTCCGAGTTATGAATTTTATAGAAACAGTGAGTTGAAGAATCTGTTGAAACACTTGTTTTGTGAATAATATTACCGTGATACTTACGGGGAATAAATGTGAGTGAAAATTAAACTTTTGTTTCTATCCAGCCAAAATTGAGGCATCATTAGATCATTGCATGTAATTAATGTGGACCATGAGTAAAATAGTTTTGAATGTATAAATGTATATATGTGCATATGTATACGTATGTATAGGTGTATTTAATATATATATATATATATATATATATATATATTTATCTGTAAGACTTACATAGTAACGCAGTGTTTTACATGTGCACGCGGGATGAGCGATGAACATCGGACTGGTTCAAATCATCACCACCAGAATTTACCAAATTTGTTCAATATCTTGATGAAACACTACTTATAAATAGTTAAGTTATCACTCATACCGCCACTACTCGCGCACACGGGCCCAAACATGCTGGTCTTCCTTTCTTGATTCTCTGGTGCTGTTCATAAACACAAGGAACTTATTCAGCTGAAGATAAAGTTAGAACAGACAATCTATTCATATAGTTCCTTGCAAGATGTGATCAGTCAGTAAATCATATTTACTAAACAAATTTCACCTATCTATTTTGCTCGAATATTCTTCAGTGGCCGTGTCAGAATTTCACAGTGCAACTGCTCTTCGAAGTGCAGTTATACGCTTAGATTCTTTCATTCCAATAGGACAATAAGAGGAAAATTATATTTGTCAGTATGGGTATCCGGATGCCTTGAACATTGTATTATAATTTCAATGAGTTCACATTCAGCTTAGGCTACCATAAATCAAAGGCGAGCAGGTGTCTATGTTGATGATTCACGTATACTTTCGTGATTTTGTTTTCCTTGTCAAAACGATAGGTTTTGTCATTTTGACTGTTGTTTTAAGAGGGAAGTATTTTCACCGATAAGAACAAAATGCGAAGATCAAAGCAATCAGAATGAAACCGTCTTGATTAAAGTGCTCTAATCGACTACTGATTTCTATCTGTAATTCCAAACGAGGCAACAATACGTTTCCACTATTATTACAGTTGTGGACAGCATTTGTATCCGACGTCCATTAGTAAGGTCAACATATGAGAAGCAGATAACAACGTAATCAGCGAGAAAGTTTCAACAACCCCAAATAATTTACGACCTACCGCATTCACCCATATATCAGTGCACGAATTTGTGCTTCCATCAACTTCCTCCTCATTCTTCCTTCATCTGTGTGGAACACGGATTTGCAACCTCACCACATAGACGAGCAAGATAATTAGTAATATTATGTGGAGTGAATAGTGTTACGATCGATGCGATATGAATTTGGCGTAGAGTTCCGAGTTGTGAGAACCGAAACCTGTTTTATTTCGAGTATTGAACAGATCCACATTTGTCCCATGTTTTGGTAATGCAGATGATTTACAGGCTTTGTCGGGTGAGTAATAAATTCAATAATTTGAAACCTAAATTACAAAGTGAAATACATTGAAAAATAGTGCATTATTCTTCCACAATTATATACAACGATTAGTTTTCAAGATTATCTTAAAGAGAATGCCTTTGTTGTGTTGAGCCAACGCAGTGAATTCATCCTTCGTAACAGTCGATCGCTGTGCTGATAGCCGACTGTCCCCGTTGAGAGTTAAGGAAGAATGGCTGAAATGGCATTATTTGAATGTGCTCAACATATCATAGAGAGCCCATCCGGATAGCATGGTGTTCAGTTGTTCGAGCGTCGATTATGAATGCAGAATCACATTCACAAGTGATATATCCTACTACTCAAATTGCGAATAAGCATCAATGAGCACCTTTGCCTGATGTGATATGTTGTTAGTAGTGGAAGGGTCACCACAAATGATAGAATGGGCCGGACCAATAGATAATGGAACTTGGGCATGAAGTTTCTATCAGAATAAAAGTGGTGTCTAGTAGCAGGCCTTATTAGCAGATTCATTCTATCTGTCCCATAGATATCGCTTCTGTATATTACGACTACTAGTGTTATAATCCAGAAGGCGTGCCTGGGTTAATAGGTTGTTTATTAGCATCAACGTGTTCGGACATTGACAAAACAACACAAACGTTACAAACATCTTCATTTGCCAAGTGGCTGTCCTGTTCACTTGAAAACAGTCAACGTCCAACGGAGGAGCGGTCAGGTGGTTTGCAGATCGTCGTTTACCTTATCCAAAATTGTCCTTAGTTCTGTCTTCAGCAATCAACTACTTTATAAGTAGTATATACACTCACAACACTAGTACTACTAATAATACTGATATTAGTGCTACTAATATTAATAATGAAACTATCATTGATAGTGCTATCACTACAACTATTACTACTACTAATACAATTAATTATTTCACTGTTAATACCACTACTACCACTACCACTGCTTGGATCACTGCCAATTGGAGATTAATTGCTACCGGTTATCCGAAATAGACGACGATGACAGTATATCCACTCATTTATTACCAGGTCAAATTAAACTATCATCACGAGAATAATAAAACCTCATCAACAATGCCATGTTAATAGGGACAGCTGGTACTTGACTCGATATCCGAACACTTTCCACATTTTACTTTATTGTATTCAGAACTTATACAAACAGACGAATTGGAATACTTGAAACTGTTCCGGCCGAATTGGAACGCTTCCGAGGACCAGTAGCATCTCTTAGGCATTGCTCATTCAGTAGGTGATGTGCCGTCAACATCCTAAAGCAGTTGGAGAGATTGAGGGTCAATGGGAAACCATATAGTCGGTATATTTTATGAGAAACCATCTCGTTCCCATCCTATGCCAATCACGCAGCTCATAGAGGGTGATACACTTTCAGTATTCATTCCATCTTGTTGCGGTCAAAATACTACTGACGAAGAGTTAGTTCCTCAATAACTAAAACGTAGACATTACTCATTCTAGCGAATGAGACTCTTAGTAATTGTTCGTTTTGTACCTTGTCTGATGTGCCTGATCTTCAGAAGACGAGACATCCTCAAGTGAGCTACTTCATATGTATTTTGATAACCAGTGCCGCTTATTGAGTTGGAAACCAAATATTACTCATTCGTGACTGAAGAAGATGTTGAGAGACGAAATTTCATCGGCCGCTAACAAGTTATTTGATAGGACTGTTTCATAAGGTTTCAGTCGATGTTCATAGAAAATAAATCAATGAATAAATGTCATTGTAATAATCATTCGATTTGCCCGTTTATTATGCAACAAAGGGTACGAAATTGTCAACTTCGACAGAACAGGAGCACAAGCTTCCATCGAGGAACTGAAAAGTGGTTTTGAGATTCTAAACGGATACGTGAAGTCTTTGTTCATTCGATCACCGGTTGATCAGCGATGGTCGCCACCTGGTGGTGAAATGAATACTTCAGGTAGATGGATGACCAAGTGTGTGATTTGTTGGTTTCATTTGCAGTCAGACTAGGCGTAATTAATCGATTTGTGTGCAAAAGTGATTCATCTGGAAATGCTCGTTCAACATGAGTGGAATAGGAGAGAGACACGGATGATCACCTGTCACGATATTTCTCACGGACTCATTGTGAAATGACTATATTTGAGGGAGATCTTCAAGCTTGATTTTCGTATTTCATATGATCAACTGAGCACAATAAGACGGACACCTTTGTAATTTACAGTACATGATTTCATTTTTATGGCAGAATCAGACATTTGACAATTCAACAAACGTTTGTCGGCCATATTTGTATCATTTATTACTACATGCATGAAATAATGGTTATTTGGTATGGAGGTTTTGATTAAATAACTATTCTAACCAAAAACATGATGCTCATCTTTACAAGGGCCAGGTTGGAGAAGTCGACTGAGAGGTAAATACAAAATGCTAATGTTTATATCCCCATCAGAGTTCGACACTGCATGCAGTTGTGCAGTGAACTGACTTAGTGCCAATGATTTTTTGTCTGCTGCGAACCGATTGAGAAAGTCCCATACATATCGCAGTATACTAATCAATCAGAATCCTTCAGTTATTCGAAATGTCATCTCGCAATGGCAAGCTTATATTGTGTTGGACTCCATATTTCAACTAGTTGTTATCATGTAAAACATTCAGAAATAGTTATAACTTACCGGCCACAAAGATGACTACAACACTTGAGGAGGTATCTTACTACGACTATCCCATCAATATTTTTGACTTGAGAAAACGACAGAGTGCTAGATTTCCACCATCTTTGAAATTAAGTCTGATTGAACTTAACCAATTCCATAAATACACTGAACCAGATCTTCAGCGCATTATTTGATTGTACTCGCAGATGATCTTGTGGAAAATTAACTGATCCATTCCAGTTTGAGTCATTCCATTCGTTCCATTGTGTGAATTCAAACACGCCTGACAAGTGACTTTTGCAATTGATCTATTAAATGACTAAGGTGGAATCGGTAAGTGCAATATTCTATTTTCAATCCGTCTGAAGTAAAATCAGTTGTGTTACAATGTGCGAGTAAGAAATCATGCGACCAAAACGGTTGAATGATCCCATTTCAAAATGACGATTGAATATTTGTTTTCTCTTCTCTCCGACAGCTTCACCAGTTCGAAGTGAGCAACACTAAACTTTCTCTCTCAGAACGTGTTTGATGAATAGCTCAATTCTACATTATGTCGAATTCGGAAATGGATATTTCCACAAATTTTAATTTGCAATGCAACAAAATGGATTGCACTAGCAGAAAGTCAAAAGATATGCCCACCTGATCGTTTGAACAAACCAAATGTTATTTTGAGTTCAATGGGAAGCGAGAAAGCAATGGACATTTAACTGATCGAATAATGAATCAATAATAACGGATTGTTTTTATTCTGTGTATGTTCTTTGCGTGTGCACTTGGCCGAATCATGTCACAAAATGGGAAATATGTATCTATTCTATTTCAATAAATCAGCACGTTTTAATAATCAGTTGTAAGAGCCCTTAGTTCCCATTCCGGGATAAGAGATGATTATGACAGGTAGAGGTACGATATCTGGGGAGAGAGATCTGATTAGGACCACTGTCCATCGGATATTAGGAATAGCGAGTAAAATTCAGATTTGCGGGAAATGCAAAGTTATGGTTTGATGAACAGGAGCCTGTGGTTTTCTGATCTATATATCATTGAGGAGTACAATGTTATGGCGTGATTTGACGTCCCAATAAGAGATCTACATGTAGTCCGAACCAAATCGGGGTTGATTTTGAAGCACAAATCAAGGACCAGTATTTTGGGCGAGATGTTAACTGAGTGCCCTGACTATGCTCGGTAATGAACACATCAAGCCTCTCAAAATATTGAACGGCAGTTTGACTCGATAATAAAATAGGTCTCGATATAAGGATATTCCCGAGTTAGTAATTCTGAGGGAAAATGCAATTTTGTTCACATTAGCTGACATATGAAGATGGTGCATTAGGACAAGGGCGACTGACTGGTGGACAAAGACACAGACATCGGTTCGGGGTAAAGCGAAGGGATAGACATTTTATTTGGGAAACTCGAAATGGGTGGTACCTGAGGTAGAAGAATTGGGTCAGGATTAGAAGAAGACCGGAAACATTGGTGTACAGAATACAATTGCAATTTAGTCAATGAATGATACCTAGAATATTGAGTGTCTACATTTTCACCGAATAGGCGGGGAGAGAATGAAGACGAGGACTCTTGCGATTATCAATTTTGAGGCCATATCAGGCAACCATGACCATCAGACTGTTAAAGATAATCCTCACAAAGCCTTAAGGGATCAAGCCTGGTAATGCGACGGGAGATAGCAGAGCTCTTTAACATTCAAGTTGACAGTGGTTTGCCCAAACACTATGGCTCTGCAAACCAACGGCATTCGAACAGACTTGATTTTTGCTTACAAGAATCAAATGGCGAAAATGAACAACATTCTTGAGATCAAATAAGGTTCAAAATTCCTTCGCTCTTGCTTATCTACATTTCGCTGTCCATGGAAGGCTGAAAATGGCATAGCTAGTCTGCTCGACCATAACCCAATTCATTGTGAGTTTTCTGAAAAACATTGACGCATTTTGCGATTCAGGTGACGACAGCGGGTGAAGATTCTGTGGTTATCTGACCTACTTATCATTGAGGAGTGCAATATTATGGCACGATCCGATTTGCTGAGAGGAGATCAACATGTAGTCCGAACCAAATCAGGATTGTTTATGAAGCACAAATCAAGGTGGGCATCAATCCCAGTGGGGACGTTTACAACGTTCTTCAGATCCAATGGTATCAAGAATTCTAGCTGAGAATGGTTGAAATAACTTCAGACAAAGCACAGACAACAATCAGCATTGTTCAAAAGTTTGGAAAACAAAATCTCAGAGAAACCCTCCAAAACACCCACACGATGTAAATATATAGGAGAAATATGAGCTTTCGCAATAATCATGGAGCAATATCTATCCACATGTTTAGGTGAATATAAGATCATGGAAGCATTTATGTAAGAATCTGAGTGCATGAGTAGCACTTGGGCAGACTTACACAAATTGTATTAGGGGTAAGTGATGGTCTCTCCACCGCGTTTCTAACGAGGTGAGCATCTATCAGCCCGGTAGCAGGCGAAATCATCGAGATGGATAATGTTGTCGTCAATATTGTCACAGCCGAGTTTCTTGAAACAGTATCTCTCCAAGTTCCCCTTGTTTACGACGGAGTTCAAGTTCACTCAAATGGCTGAATTTTCCCATGTGTGAGCACAAATTTAACTGAGTAGAATGGGCATGCATATGTGTGATATTTTCTGCCTTCAACGGGCCACTTTCTATCCAGCAAGGTGTTTCTTATATATCTTAGAAGCCCACGTTTAAGTCTGCCTCATTCATTTTCTAACTGATTTCTTGATGAATTTTCTTAGTGAGCATGTCAACTTGATGAGCTTAGTAAAGGCCCCGCAACAAGGGTGAATGTACATGGAATAATGTTATACTTTTATGAAGCATTTTACAAGCGGAAGAGTCATTTACATTGATCTGCCAATGAGAACGATTTCGCAAAGATGTATCAGCTTTCTGCTCAGATATGATCTCATTCGTGTTGCGACCATTTCTCGTTGGAAATGAAGTGCATTATGTAACAATACCTCATAATCACGGGTCAGATAAAATCGGGAAAACTGATATGGTCCTATTATTCTCAATTGAAATCAGGGGCCGGTGGATTTATGAAAGGTACAGATCACCCGTTTCCAGTTTCATTCGTGTTCGACAATCTCAAACTTTTCCAATTTATTTAACACACTGTATCGCATTATCAGCTCATTGTTCTAGTAAACTTGCAGATGATTTTTTTGAAGAAATAACTAATAAATTGAATGTCTCTAGTTATTGGTTCTTCGGTTTGATTTGTGTAAATTGGAATGACAAAGCATGATCGCATAAACACTCAAATGTGTCACTGTCCTGAACGAACAATTATGAAGGTGCCATCGGTAAGTGTGCTATTCTGTTTCGCATTTGTTTTTCGTAGACACAATTCCGTGACAATTGGTGAATAGAATTCCTTCCCATATAATCGGTTGATTCAATCCATTTTGAACAATACTTCTAACTGTTTGTCTTCATTGCTCCCAAAGCTGCTCCCTTTCGAAGTGAGTGATACTGAGTGTTTCTCTAAGGACATTTTTTCGTGAATAGCTCAATTCCACATTACGTTGAAATCGGCAAGCATTAGGTCTGCAAATCTGAAATTGCGAAGCGAAAATGTGGATTGCATTAGCTGACACAAACCGGTGTTCAGAAGAGGCTAATGTGATAAATATGACAACTCAAATCAAATAACACATCCATTAGACAATTCGAATTCAGCAAACGACATTCTTTCAACTGATCTACTAATGGATAAATAAACACGGAACGATACATTTCGAACTTTGTTGTTTGCTTGTTCACACAACGCAATCAAATCACAAAGTGGGTAGTCTCTCACATATTCATGTAAATCGAGGTTCATTTGCACATCCAGTTTCAAGTGTTCGTGTTATCATTAAAGCAGCAGCTTATATTATCTTGATGCATGCTTATTAACTTTCATGGTACAGTGGGAGATTTTCGGGTCTTAATTTTTTGCTTAAAAAATGTTTGTTCAGCTGCACTCAATTGAATAAAATGTGTACATAAAGAAGATTGGTATTTGTTGTTGACCTTTTGATCACACCATTAGTGCAGCTGCTAGCATGATGTACAAAATTGCTAGGGCCATGTTGGAAGAGCCGGCTGAATGGTAAATACAAGCAGCCATCAATTATGTTTTCACTGAGGTTCCACAAAACACCAGGCTATCCAAGGAATCGACATAATGTCAGTGGTTTATTGTCTGCCAAGAACCGGTTGAGAATTTTTTGTACATGGTACAGCGCACTGGTCGAACAGAACCCAGCAGTTATTCTGAATAGGTGCACGCCACGGCACCTTTAAGTTTTATCATGCTTTACGGATTCTGGGTATTTGTTATTACGTATAACACTCAAGAATACTTATGGTTTGATGACCACAGCATTGATTACCATATCTAAAGAGATTTTATCCCGGTCATCTCATCGTTTCTTGTGATTTAACGTAAAAAATGACCTTTGATTCCCCACCATCTTTGAATTTAGGCAATCATTAAATTTCCTTATCTCATAAATACTCTAAGTCGCCATATGATTGCTTCATTTTATTGAACATGCAACTGATTTTATTTGAAATACTTATAAGTCACCTGTTTTGAGCCGGTTTCTTTTTCTTATTTGTGCAAACTGAAAAAACTTAACTTCCATTTACCCCTAACTATTTGACACCCGGTGGAACAATTATTTAGGGTGCCGTTGGTAGATGCCTTATTCTCTTTTGGTATTGTTGTAAGATACAAATAACTTTGTCACTTTTGGCAAACAGAAATAATTCAACCGGAACCGGGTGAATAACTCAGTTACTAACAAGGCCTCTAACAATTAGCCTCCTCTGCTCCCACAGATACTCACTTCCGAAATTAGTGACATTTAAATTTTCTTTCAAAATACTTTTAGCACACTTTATATCAAAATTATCAGAACACTAGGCTTATGTAGTTAAATCGCCAAGCGAAAAATGGAGTGCTTTAGCTGACGTACCAATTGGGATTTAATCCAACCATTATGCTCAGATGGAAATGTCGGTGAATATGGCTGCAGAAATCAAGTGGCATACCCGAAGTGTTATTTAAAGTGAAAAAACAATGTGTTTAACTGATCTGGTTGCTGAAAACTAAAACGAACTGATCGATTCATTTGCGTGTTATTTGGGTGTTCACATAGTACCGTCAAGTAGCAACATTTGTAGTGTTTCTCTTATATTCATCTAAATCAAGGTCTGTCCACATAAGCAGTTGGAAAACTTGGTGTTCCTTCCCTATTCTAGTAGCATCTTTGGCGCACTTTTGTTAGAAATTTAGTAATCGATGTATCCTATGATGTGCCTCAACTCACATCGGATTGAGGCAAGATGTTCCGAGGTATGTCATTTGTACATACTGATGCCAATTATGGTTTTACTGTGCAATTAATTGTTTGTCAAACGCGTTTAGGTAATCCTGGCTCTGCCATTCGTGGCAGTGATCACACATGCGTGTTCTTGAGTAAAACAAATTCCATGCCTAGATTAGTTAAGCTAAAATGTTATATGTTGTTGCACCGAAATCTATACTGGGATGGTAAACTCGATCGTCAAAATAAGTTGCATAAAAGGGATATTTTGGTAACAATAACATCAGAACAATCTAATTTGTATTGCCTGTGACGGGACGAGTAATTATTCCCTAATTCGGCAGTCCAGTATACAGGTAAGCTGCAAGATAGAAATACCATATCTAAGGACAGAAGCCTGGCCAGGATGAATGACCGCGTGCGTACGAGAACCACGGGTAACGTTTGGAGTTAGAGAAACTGCCAGTGCAAGCTCCAATGAACAGACGCTATAATGGTGCCGGTAGTTTATTGATCAAGAAACACCTTCCCATCAGTTAGCTGGGAATAACAGATTTGAGGCCAGGAAGCGTATTCGATATGCTCAATGGCCTTCTCTTGAGCCCAGACAAAAACAGCAACAGAAAAAAATGAAGATCCATCCCACACGTGATAATAGTATTTAAGTCACGGACTGATTTGAACTTTGAACAGTAGTAGTAGTTGAGCCGGAAAAAAATAAATTTCTGGCATGGAATTGGGAAACACATTTGCTTACAGCATGAAAAGCAAGCTTGGATATGAAGGACGGCCAAAACAGTGAAGAAGTTGTGAATAAACTAAGAGGACAAATAGAGCCTGTATAATGCAAGTGCATTGAATTACCATACAAATGTGGACTAAATGAATGAAGTTTTCTTTGAATCGAGAAAATCAAAGTTTGAGAAGCACTGAAATCAACATGATTGTGAAAGTCCCATGAGAAGATACGTTCGAGGCCGAAGCTATCAAAAGCACTACTAACAACACATTCACTTTCAATAGAAGTTGAGACACGGCTGAAGGTAGAGTAAGAAAGAGAACAGAGTAGTATGATATCCTCGAGGAAAGCTTGATTTGGATTGGAGGTCTTGGACAGAAGGTCATTCACGAGAGGAATAAACAAGATGAGCGCAGGTATGAAACCCTGAGAAAAGCTAGCATTCACAGAGAACCGCTGGGATAAAATTCACAGACTTGGACGGAAAGGGTTTGCTTACAATGAAACTTGTTGTCCAAGATATGAGAACAGGAGGGAACCTGAACTTTTGCAGTTTTCCGGGAAACCTTTGCGTCATACGTGGTCGAAGGTCTTTGAGATAGCAAAGGAGACCAAGTGTGATTTTTCGTTACTGTTGAAAGCAGCCTACCAGTGATGTGGGAAGAGAGCTAGTTGGGGGCTGGTTGAACAACGGATCTATAGACGCATCGGTGGTCACACGGTTGTCCTTCTCGTCCAAGGCATACGCGTAACTGGTCAAGAATAATTGTTTCGGAAAATTCCGAAATAATAAACGTGGGGGGCATCGAGCCATAGTTTTTCGCAAGCCACCGGTTACCTGGCTTTAAATGGAAAAAATCACCGCCTGTCTCCACGGGGTTTTTAAAATAGTAAGAATGAACGAGTGACAGAAATGATGGAGTAGAAAAGAGCAAACTTAGAGGTATACATCCTAGGGACCGTGAGTGGAATACCCTCTGAACATGGTGATTTAGGTGCATTCAGAAAAAACAGCGTTTGCCGGACCTTCCTGGTGCTAAAGCGAAGTATAAAATGAAGGTTTTTCGAGAAAGAGAGGCTGGAGTAGTGGAGCATTTTCCTACAAGATAGAATTATAAACCAGCTGGAGAACAAATCTCCATTTTCCTCGTATGGCTGAAGAACAAAGTTACCGGAGTAATTACATATGGGAGAGAAACTGGAAGAACAAAAATTGCAGGAAACTACACTGACAAGGGACCGGGATGAACGGCTATCGGTGACGAACGACTGCAGGCATTCGGGTTTGTAGCTGACGAAACCTTCCATGGCACGGAAGATGGTGAACAAGCACTCGCTTCTTAACTACACGAAGAGTTTATCTGAAGGGACATTAGACAAGTGGTGTTAGCGAAGCCTGCCGTGGTAAGCTGAGAGTTTCAAGCGAACAGCGTGATCATACGAGTGCTAAACCTTTTGGGAGGTTTTGGTTTTCCGGATTTAGAAGAGTGTGGAATAAAAAAAGATGCATACTTCGAAGAACATTACTGATGAAGTTAGAAACGGAGGTGTGCATGTATAAAATTAAACAACAATCGTTCCAAGTATAGGAATCTAGGAAATCACAGAAATCGTTCCGGTGAGCTAAATCTTAAAGTCCTCCTCGGGGTTAGCGAACATACGGGGTAAGTAAAATGGGTGCTGCAAGAAATCGCACAATATTTGGATGAGCCACTTGGAGAAATATTAGTGATCTCTAATAAGAGAAGTAGAACGGAGGTTGGAGTAATATCAAGGTTATGAGCCCGGTCATAAGTTAGATCGGGGATACGCGTGGGAAGGTCAACTAATTGATTTCGGTTTTTGGCCACGGTAAAAGCCTTGGCTTCGTGCCCCGAGTCCAAATTGTCAAAAGAGTGCATCATTCGTTCCCGGTTTTGAACAGATAATTCTCCCAGGCTAGTGGCGTGACAGTCGGGGTTGGTAACAAATAATTTCGAAGATAAAAGATCGACTAGCGGTGAGTTTCCGCTGCTATAAGAGCGACAAACAACAGAAGAAATATATTGCTTCAAAAGGGAGTTACAGCCGTAATACATAAAATTTGGGACTGGTAACTTCAAGAAGGAGAGTCCGGAAGGTAGCGATTAATTGGTAGACAATGGAGCAGACATCGATTCAGAGACAAACGGTTGGATGAACATTTTAACTGGGGAACTAATAGTGGGTGTCGTCTGAAGAGAGGAATGCTCGGGTTTTGGTTAAAAGCAGGGAGAAAAAAGAAGAACAATGAAAACTGTGATGCACAAAACCAACTTTGCAGTACATCCCACGAACGTTGATGAGGGTAACGAATGCTTCGTTTGTTAGCGAGTAAGCGAAGCAAGAATAAAAACGAGAAAAATACGTGATTTTGAAATTGTCATGGTGCTAATTTTTAGGCACTAGTCAGGAACCATGATCTTGTGACTTTAAGTTTCGAGCCGCATAAGCTTACAATGCATTGGACGTTGTAATGAGCGGAGGAACAGCAGAACCCTCTACCGTTTACGTTGACAGG